CAACATTGCGGCCTGCAGAATAGTTCACCAAAGTGCAGAGCTGCTTAACCTTTCTTTTTCTCAAAGATATCTTAGGCCAGAGATGAGGGCCTCACTCTTTCTGGGCAAGCTTCCAGGGGCTGCATGCCACTGATGGACAAGACCAGGGGCCAGTCTGTAAGGAGCAACACACATGCATTTCACTTTTGTACAGTATCTACACCTACTCATATACCCTCCCTCTTTCCTCCATTCCAGAGTTGCCATATTTCAAAAAGTGAAAATTCGGACACAAAAGTTGTTGAGCTTAGCTTTCTTCTCAAAATAACAAAATAAAAATGTTTTGGGGCTATTTTTCAGGAAAATCAGGGGGGAAAACAACACTTCTGACATGGGTTGCCATACGTCCGCATTTTCCCAAACATTTCCACAATTTCCATCCAGATGCTGCTTCTGACTGCAGTATTCTGGGTATGGCCGGGAACTTCCGGACGTATGGCAACCCTATCAGGAAAGTGGGAGGCATTGTTCAAAAATACATTCCAGACAGGTAAAAACGCTCAGGATATGAAACAGACAGAGGAAAGGGTGTGGCTTGGAGACAGGTCCAAGAACCAGATAGACAGGCGTTTTCCCCCAGGCCTGAGGTTCCCCACATTGACTTAGGCTAAAGGCAAACCAAAGATTGATATAAAATGGAATAGGGTAGACAAAGCCACCATTGCCTTTGATGCACACAGACACCATTATTTTGTTCTGTTATCCTGTTAGCTATCGTCAAACCTCTGCAGTAGGAATGGACAGATGTCAGGCTAGCAGGATGTACTTCTTTTGTTACTCGAATGCAAAGGCCCACCAACCAGAGCCAGGTCATGGCGCAAAATGAACTACGGCAGCTTGAATGAACTCACTCAGGGGAAGGAGCCAATTGCCTACTTCTGCACCGCATGAGCCACATACTGGCCTGCCAATATGCATACAAATCTACCTCTGAGTTACTATGAATCAGGGGTTCTAATGGCCTAAAGCTGGGGTGCAGAAATGCAAGCTTGGCTGCTGCTGCTGCTACTTGGATTCAAACCACGTACTCCATCTGCGGTTTGAATCCAGAGCCATTTTGAAGGCACACTTTTAGCACAAATCAGCCCATCTTCAAAGCAGAGAGCTGTAACTACTGATGAGGTGTTCAGTCACTACAGTGACCTCCTTTGAACTTTAGCAGTTGATGTCCTTATGGTGCCTGGGGATTGACAAGCGGGAAAAGTTGATCCATGGGGATTGGGGAATCCCACTGGTCAGAACCTCTTCCTTACCCAGGTGTAGACAGAAACCAGTAGTCTGGCTTGCTAAAAGGCATCCTTTTCGAAAGCAGCTAACAGCACAAATCAGGCTCCTGTTTGAGCCCTGTTTTGATGTATATATTAATAATGCTTAGTATTTATTTAACGAAGTGTCTTGTGGCTCCTTAAGGACTAACCAAATTGATTATGGCACAAGCTTTCAAAATAAATTACTTAGGCCATAATAAATTTGTCAGTCTTTTAAAGTACAACAATACTCTTTGCTGTTTTTGCTAAAACAGGGTCGCCCCTCTGGAAGTAGCACTTACTGGGCTTTTGAGTGTTTTAAGTGTTTCATGTGCCATTATATTGTATTCATTACAACAAGCATGCTGGGTAGATCAGTAATATTATCCCCGAGCTGCAGGTGCAGGGGCCAAGGTTTCTGAGAATACAGTGGTACCTTGGGTTACATACGCTTCAGGTTACATATGCTTCAGGTTACAGACTCCGCTAACCCAGAGATAGTACCTCAGGTTAAGAACATTGCTTCAGGATGAGAACAGAAATCGTGCTCTGGCGGCGCAGCAACAGCAAGAGGATCCATTAGCTAAAGTGGTGCTTCAGGTTAAGAACAGTTTCAGGTTAAGAACGGACCTCTGGAACGAATTAAGTACTTAACCTGAGGTACCACTGTATGTGCCTTAGGCCATCTAGAGCTGGGGCTGAGCTGACAAAAGATTGGTAAATTGCTGAATGATCTGCAATAGACTGGCAAGGGTATACCTGTTAAAATATAGTACAAATTTAAACTATGGTATTCCCACAAGAGGCAGCGATAGTCGTTGGGGGTAGTTCGTGGCTATTTTCCACCTCCACTGTTAGAGGCAGGATGCCTCTGAATAAAAAAACAGGAGATTCTATGTGTCAAGTCTGCCCATGCCTGATCTGAAGAGTTCAAGACAGAGGGGAGATGGAAACTGGGGGCTTGCTGATCCGTAACTGAGTGGCTTAGCCCAGCTCTCGCACCATATGGACTGCATCATGTTCTCCTGATGAAATGGAGACAAAGGGGATGAGATTTGTTTGGCTTGCATGATACTGCAAACCTACCTAATCTGTACTTCTTGAACCACCACATGAACTGCAGGGCAATTATAGTTTAAAATTCACACTTCCTCTACATTTTGCAAAATACATACCAAAAAGGTGTATCTTAGGGGAAATGACATGCACACAAAAATGCATGCACTTGGAAAACTAATGTACAAAAAAGTAAACTAGGGAAGATCCCTTGCAGAAATGCATATAGAAGGAAAAATGCACACTTAAGACATATATAAATTTGCCCATGGACTTAAAAAAGGAAAAAGATTCACAAACCAATGCAGCAATGGGTTGAACTCTACGTATAAGACTGGGGGAAAAATGAGTTAAATGAGAGAAACCTAAATTGATAGATTCATCCACCCCTCCTCTTTCCCTCCTACAACACAAACGCCCTCCCTTGCACACTCCACAGTCACCCCCAGGCTAGTCTGCTTGCCTGCCGGCCTATCATACTCCCTGGGGGAGGGGAAATTATTTTCTGTCACTTGTAATAGTGGTTTCTGCTAAATTTAACATAAAACCAGAGCTCATTACTTCTGCATTAGACGGGCTCCGGCGTCTGCCTGCAGGTTAATGGATTTCTCCTGGGGATAGAGGTGCCATTTTTCAGCCAGCGGTTACGACAGGGTGGCAGGCAGTAAAGTGTTGGCCTTGTAAAGGCAGGTCTGGGGTTTGGAAACTTGTGAGGTCCCCAACAAGGCCAGAAAGCACAGCTAGGGTTAAAAAAAAGGAACTAGAGAGAGAGATATGGGGGGAAGGATCAAAGCTCCCCTCCACCCACCAAACATTCAAGCCTGGGAGGAAAGACACACTCACACATAGGCATGCTTCAGTAAGTCAGGCATGCGCAGCGAGCAAGCAGCCCTTTGCTCACATTCATCAACCCAGCCGTCTCATCCTGCTGCGGAAGATGTACAGATTCACGCAGTGAACAAGAGTGTGGCGCAGTAACTGCGATTGATCAATGTCACTGCCAGATCCAAGGATCACAAATACTATCTTGGGGTGTCTCTTCCTCGGGTTCAGATGAGGCTTGGGCGGGTCGGAGGGGGGAACGAAACAAAAAAAACAAGAGTCAGGAAGAAATGGAAGGTGACAAACCCAGAGGCTGGATTTCAACTGCTTGTTAAGAGGCAACTCTTCCCCCCAGCTCTTCACATTCATTTCAGTGAGACTTCTGTGGGTGGGTGGATCACGCTGACGTATTTATTTATAAACCACACTTTCATAAAAATGCAAGGTGGCACGCACAATTACAATAAGAGCAATAGAAACACCAGTGAAAACATTAATAAATACCAATGGGATTAAAAGAAACTCACATTTCAAAGGGCGAATAACACCGTTTTTAGGAGACATCTAAGGCAGGAATGATTTATTCTGAACTACTGGCAGGGAGTTCCACAGGGCACGGCCTGCCGCACTAAAGGCTCAATCCCTAATAAAGGCCGAACCTTGGGTGTGTGGGGTATCACAAGAAGTGTCCCTCTTCTGACTCAGTGACTGAGGAGGGACATAGGGGTTCAGAGGGTCCTTAACATACTTTGACCCCAAGTAGTTTATGGTTCTTTGTGAATTAACAAGAACCCTGAACCTGGCCCAGTAGCAAACTGGCAACCAGTGCAGCTCTCTGAGGAGAGGGATAGCACTTTGCCAGTAGCCTGTTCCTGGCACTGCATTATGCACTACTTGCAGCTTCCATGCCAGATAAAAGGGAAGCATCACATAAAGTGTGTTATACAGTGATGGGGGGTCTGAGCTGGCAGTGATTTACCAAGGAAAGAGAATTTTGGGGTGGGGGTGGGGGATAGCTTAATGAAAACATTGACCCTCTGCGTGATTGCTATGGGTAGGGGCGGGGGGGGGAAGAAATTCTATGTCAGGAATCATTAGGAAAGGAACTGAAATGAATACTATCAATATCATAACACCTTTATATAAATCTATGGTGCAACTGGATTGCTTCCTTTTACATTTGCTTCTTGAAGCAGCACCTCTGCTGGCAATATTCAAAAAAGGGGTTTGGCCAGCACATTCATGCCCTGCTCTGCCCTGGGGCTTCCCAGAAGGCATCTGTCCAGCATATAAGCACTCATTAAACAAGGCTGCAAACAGGGTCTCCTTATAACATGGTTCTCCCCACCCTCTCTATTGCTTTTATACAGCCAGAAGCCTTAATTCAGGTGAGACTGCTTGTCTACCTAGCTCAGTATTATGCACTCCTATTGGCACTGGCTGTCCAGCCTCCCAGGCAGAATGGGACATCCCCATCATCTAGTACTAAAAGCATAGGGAACCTCAGGTCCAGGGGCCAGAAATGGCTCTCCCAAGTTTTTCTTAACTGGCCCTCGGGACTCTCTCCAGTTCATACTCCCCCTCACTGGCCCTGCCTCACATTCTCTTTGAGGGTTTTGCCTAGCTGGAGCGGGTCCTTAAACTAGACCTAAGTATAATTCACATTTTTTTGCTCTGCTCACTTTGACCTCTGACCCCACTCACCACTGACACGTGAACCCCAGAAGGCTGCTTAGAAGAGAATATGGCCTTTAAGGTGAAACAAACAAACACACACACAAACACACACACCGCTTTTAAATTGAGATTCCCGGGACTGAAGTGGAGACGTTACGAGCCTGGATAGCTCAGTTGGTTAGAGTACGGTGTTGATAACGCTAAGGTTACAGGTTCGATTCTCGCATGAGACAGCTGCATATTCCTGCATCGCAAGGGGTTGGACTAGACTAGATCATCCTCAGGGTGCCTTCCAACTCTACAATTCTATGACATTTCTGCACACAAAGCATGTTCTCTGCCACCCATCTATGGCTCCTTCTGTGCCTAATGCTAGGACACAGCATTTATAATATTAATAATTTATTATTTATGCCCCACCCATTTACAAATGCTGGAAGGAATCATCTGGGTTCCGGGACAATTTCTGGAATCTAGACAGGCCTCACCGGCTCTTCATTTTTCTTTCCTCTCTCTTCTAACTCCCCTGCCCATCAATTTAATAAGATGAATTTTCTCAAGCAGCACTGGCCCCAAAGAAGGATACAATACTTCAGAAAAGGCTCTATCAGTGCCAAGTGGAGCGAAACTGTCTTAACCCTAACCCTTCTAGCGCAATCCATCTATTCATAACATCCAAGATGGCAGGTGAATTTCTTGCGGCAGCAAAACACATAAATATACATTATGGCCCAGGTTCTATTCAAAGGCTTCATGGCACTTTTAACACCAGGCCAATAATACCTCATCATCCCCTCACTGCAAACTCCTTTCTCCTTCTGTGTTCACCGATTTTCCTTGCCTCTGGGTAAACACTTCCCCGTTTGCTTTTTATAAACCTTGCCTTTATCGAGCAACATCACTAAACCCATATTTATTGACCTACATCACCACCCTTTGCAGGAGGGAGGGAGGGACTGGGAACGTTTTGTGAAATGCAACTTCTAAACATACATATTTATTTTCCTTATGTTATTTCATTAATGAATTGCTTATTGTGAAATAATCGTGTGATTATTAATAAAAACTTCCATAAAAATACCAACAATAATAGATACAGATACATAGAGATATATAGCTAGATCTATAATTTCAAATCAAATATAGATGCAAACTTAGAATCTCCAATTAAGAAGCTTGTTGAAAAAAGGTCTCCAATTGAATAAAGATGGAGCTCAGGGTGGGCAGATCAGTCCATTTCAGTTTCTCATTTTTCCAATCTTAAATTCAGTTCTCAAGAGTTCTACATCAGCAGCATTTTGCTGTGAATTTCTCTTAATGTATACATTTTTGTATGTAATCTTGACTGGTATGCACATTTTTGCACTGCACTTTCCCGTAAAACACTTCATTTTTATTTGTTATTTTCATCAATATGTGCATTTTTATTCACACTACCCTCGTGTACGTGCATTTTCATACATATTACCGTACTTGGCTGGAGAACTCCATTGCAAAAATCAGAGGCAGACAAATTTCAAAGAACTTATTTCTTTTGGCCAATTATTTTTTTGGAAAGGTGTGAATAAGGTAGATTTGCCTTTAAATCTGAACTGAATTAAATTTGTTCCACATCCCTAGACAATGCTTATCTGATATGAAACAAGAGGCTAAACTGGAGGGAAGATAACTATTAACATAAAAGGAAGTAAACAAATGCATGTTTGCTCCACCCATTTGGTTTGCAAAAATCTGGATTCCCCGAACCGAAATCTCAATTTGAAAAAATTAAAAACACACATACACACAGAGAGAGAGAGAGAGAACAGGAGCATGCATAGCTCTGTTAATAACCCTGGAAAATCAAATGCCAGCTCTCAAGGTCTACGAGAAGATGGACTCGTCCCACATTAAAGCACAGCTGAGGAAAGCTTCAGGGCACCCTGTGCCACTAGGATAGATGGCAAATGTCTTCTTAAAAGATGAATGCGCAGGCTGCTCAGGGAGCGGGAAAGGGCAAAAGTTAACCAGTGGAAGTGCTGGAAAGATCCCTTCAAGGAGGAAGCGTACTGGCTACAGTGAGCATGAAAGACACACAGGCACACACGGTCAATCAATTGATAAACCAGTTTAAAGCCAGAGCACTAAAGGCCAAGTCAGCTTCAGTTCCAGCTACAACTGAATTGTGGTTGTGTTTAATTTGCACTTTGGTAAACTGCTTTTTCTAGTAACATAAGAAGCTGCCTTATAATGAATCAGAGAACAGCGGGCCAATATTGTCTACACTGGCAGTGGCTTTCCAGAGTTTCGGCCAGGGGTCTCTTTCAGCCCTACCTGGAGATGCCAGCTAGGCAGATGTTCTACCACGGCGCTAAAGTCCTTGCCCTGCCACTTAACTCCACTTCAAGCCTGAATTGTTCCCACCACTACATTCAGACTTGCTTTTTCAAACAGTTGTGGGTATATGCCCACATTAACTCCATGCTCACGCGCACACACACACACACACACACACACACACAAAATGCTCTCTGATTCTTATCACTTTCACCAAAATGTGATTCCCGAATTCTTTGGGGAAAAGCCGCAATCACCAAACTGTTATACGACCAAAGTAAGTCTGTAAAGCGGCCATACCCCGAGGTCAACACATAGGAAAGAAATGGATAACCTACAACCCAGGGGCCTTCTGGACATCTTTTTGGGAAGCTACATGCCAGTGGTGGGCAGGGCCAGAGGCAAAAGGAGGTAGAGCAATGAATGCAAATTTCACCTTTATGCACGAGGCTAGTTTCTACACAAAAGGGACGTGGGTGGCGCTGTGGGTTAAACCACAGAGCCTAGGACTTGCCGATCAGAAGGTCGGCGGTTCGAATCCCCGCGACGGGGTGAGCTCCTGTTGCTCGGTCCCTGCTCCAGCCAATCTAGCAGTTCAAAAGCACATCAAAGTGTAAGTAGATAAATAGGTACCGTTCCGGCGGGAAGGTAAACGGTGTTTCCGTGCGCTGCTCTGGTTTGCCAGAAGCGGCTTAGTCATGCTGGCCACATGACACAGAAGCTGTATGCCAGCTCCCTCGGCCAATAAAGCGAGATGAGCGCCGCAACCCCAGAGTCAGCCACGACTGGACCTAATGGTCAGGGGTCCCTTTACCTTTACCTTTAGTTTCTACACACATACTCTCACACACCCCTCTATATTCCATCCATGAAAGCTAGAGGCATCATCTGTTCTCAAGAACACATTGCAGCCAGATAAAAGACCTCAAGGGCTACATACTGGAAAGAATGAGAGCCAGACACAGAGGCCTGGAGGGCTGAATTTGGCCCCTGGGGCTGAAGTTTTCCAGTCCTGGAGACCCAAGTTCAAACTGCCACACAGTCATGGCATTCACTGGGTGAGCTTGGGCCAGTCAGTACCTCTCAGCATAGTCTAATTTGCAGGAATGCAGAGAGAACAAAACGACTGAGGAATGGGCGAGAGAGACCACGTACATGGTATTCAACTCACTGGTGGAAAGGAAAGGCCATAAATGCAATACATACTCAAACTAAACACAAAACAGCTTCCTTCCCCTACAGATTTTATGCCTCCTCCTGGAGACTTTGCAAACGAAGCTAAAACCCCAAGACCTACCAGTCCTATGTTATTTGCATAGCACCTCAACACTGGCACAGCCATCTGTCCCAGGGCAGCTGCATGTGGCCCTAGGGATGCCTGTCTCACCTTTTTAAGAATCACTGCAAACACTACATTACCCTAAACAGCCCTCTCAAGATATAAGTGGTCCCTACACAGGTGGCTCGTATCGAAGTTGTAATAAATTTCCAAACCAGCTGCTTCCTCTGTCTTCTTCCTTTTTCCAAAAAAACCCAAACAAATTGGCTTATTTCTACCCCCGTGGTATGAAATATTACACACATATACAACCCATGCACAGATCCAGCAAGCCATATGGCTGAGAATTCCGTATGAATTGCAGGGGGTAAATGGGGGCCACATAATTTAGCTAGTATTGCTCCAAACTCCAAAAAGGGGGCACATCTTAAAATGCCAAAGGGACATGTGTGGTGCTGCAGGGTTCTGTCCTGGGCCTGTTGTTGATTAACATCTTTATAAACAACTAGGATGAAGGAATTGAGCAGATGCTCATCAAATCTGCAGATGACACCAAACTGGGAAGGGTAGCTAATTCCGCAGAAGACAAAATTGGGATTCAAGATGACCTTAACTGGGCCAAAACTAACAAAATGAATTTCAATAGGGACAAACATCAGCTGCAAAATATAACATTGGGGACACCTGGTTTGCCAGTACAGTCATACCTTGGTTCTCAAACTTAATCCGTTCTGGAAGCCCATTCGACTCCTGAAACCATTCAAAAACCAAGGCGCAGCTTCCAATTGGCTGCAGGAGCTTCCTGCACTCAAGCGGAAGCTGTGTCGGATGTCAGACTTCTGAAAAAGTTCAAAAACCGGAACACTTACTTCTGGGTTTTCGGCATTTGGGAGCCGATTTGCTCGACAACTAAGCCGTTTGAGAACCAAGGTTCCACTGTAGTACACATGGAAAGGATCTAGGGCTTAACATGAGTCAACAGTGTGATGCAACAGTGAAAAAAGTTAATGCTATTCTGTACTGTATAAAGATAGTGTCCCAATCAAGAATAGCAAAAGCTCTACTGCCTTGGTCAGACCACACCTGGAGTACTGTGCCTTCTGAGCACCACAATTTAAGAAGGATATTAATAAGCTAGAACCTGTGCAGAGGAGGGGAGCTAAGATGATCAAGAATCTGGACACCAAGCCTTATGAGGAGGTGTTGAGGGAGTTGGGTATGCTTAGCCTGCATAAGAGAAGACCGAGATACGATAGCCATCTTCAAACATCTAAAGGGCTGTCACATGGAAGATGCAGCAAGCTTGCTTTTTTCCTGCTCCAGAGGCTAGGACCTGAACCCACAGATTTAAGTTACAAGAAGGGAGATTCCAACTAAACATCAGGAATAACTTTCTGACAGTAGGAACTGTTTGACTATGGAACAGACTCCCTCAGAAGGTGGTGGATTCTTCATGGGAAGTTTTTAAGCAGAGGTTGGATAGCCATCTATCATGGATGCTTTAGTTGAGATTCCTACCTTTCAGGGGATTAGACTAGATGACCCTCAGAGTCCCTACTACTGAACTACATATACTAAGATCAGACTATCTTGCTCATGACAGTCTATGCTGGCTGGTAGTGCCTCTCCAGAGTTTCC